AGAGGAAGCCATGCTTATCAGTCCACCGCGGAGCCTTCAGGTGAGAATGAGTCTGAGAGGAGGAAGAGGGAGAAGGTAAGGAGAGAGAACAAGATGCCATGGATGGATGAGTACTGGGGAGTCCTTCAGCCAGAACCAATATACTCAAGGACTCAAAGGTGGTACGTCATTGATGACTTTAAGGAGGGTGAGGAAATTTGCTGCGATTACTGTCTGTTCTGCAATCCCATAGACTTCGAGTTGAAAGACGATTGCTATGCGGAATGCATCAACGGAGCAGCAAACAGATGCCGTGGGATGTCCGCAGAAGACTACGTCCAGGAGCGATTTCATGCATGTGCTCGATTGCTTCACAACTTCGGCATGGGGCAAACGGTATCTTCTCCCACCATCGTAATCTCCGAGATGAACCCGCACGATGACTTGATGAAGTTTTTACACGAGGCGATGATCATCTTCAATGAGAATCCAGGTCTCCAGAAGGAGATTTCGTTCTTCGGGGGGATCAGGTTGTCATCAACAATGACGGAGAACTTCTTCAAAACGAGGAGAGGACCCAGCATCCATGTGGAAAAGCAGAAAGTCGGCAGCGCCAAGTACTTCCAGGGATCCTATGACCTTGGCAACGTATGCTACACCAAATACCTCAAGGCCATACTGGAACCCGATGTATTCCGCACTATACTCGGAGATGATCCCACGGAGGAACGGGTAGGTGACATGGTGGAAGCGCTGCTGGGCATGTTCGAAATTGCTCAACTCTTCAGGCACATGTTCAGGAGATGGGGTGACATCGAAGCTTTGAGGACGGGATTAGAGGAATCCATCAAACGCGTCACTGCATCGCTGTACGACAGGACAACATATGAGAACCGAAAGCGATCGATGATTAGAACCATGGACCCGCACTCTGATGAGGCGGCAAGCGTGGCGCTGATTCTCGTCCGCACGAGGACTATGCCGCTTCCTGAATTCGACATCGACCACTTCTTCGAAATCGGAAAAGAACCAGAACAGGGAACAGGAGCCACTGGCGAGCCCGAGGCCGAAGGTGTCGATATGGAGACTGAAAGTGTACAGGAGAAGGAGGAGCAAGATGTTGACATGTCCGACCCGAAGGCATCAATACTGCATGCCATCGACGAATTTGAGAAGAAGATCGGGCGGGCAGAATTCTGCATCCACTGCATGGAGTCGGGACACACAACTCTCAATTGCGAGAAGACCCTTTCATCCTCACCTACAGTCACCTCGGTGTTGAGTGATTGGAAGAAGAGAGTGAAGGGAGAGGTTGCACCCGACGATGTACCATCAGGACATCCAACCGAACAGCCTAAGAAGAAGAAGCAGAGAGCGTCGCCCACTCCAGATAGAAAGGTCGACAGCGAGTTCAGGCGCAAAGAAATGTTAAAAGCAAGAGTCGTGACAATGTTCGACCATGACGGATTCACCTTGATCGAAAGTGCTGATGGAGTCGAAGGAGGACCACATTCCTACAATGGGCGGAAGCTTGTGGAAGCAGGCCCTAAGGATATGAAAGAGGTGTATGAATTTGTCGAGAAGGCATTTGTGCACTCCAGTTCCCTCACACCAAAGGCATGTCATCACTTCTATCCCCTACCAACACGGAGGGAGAAGGGATACAAGCCGATCGACCCCATGACGATGGTCGGGAAAGTTGAACTAGTACCGATCAACGGAGTCACTTTCGCTGCAAAGAACTCCGACTACGGCAACCACAAGTATCCGACTCCAGACTGTCGAGTACGTGAATACAGCCAAACGAGCCAGGCCCTGAGTCGTCGATTGGGAGCGAAGTTGAGACATCGAATTGGACGCCAGTTCAGGACAGGAGGAAGACTCGCACCAATCAAATGCGATGAAGGCGCATGGGTGTCATGGGAAGACCTGTTAGGTGATAATGCAGTTTGGGAAGACGGTTATCACTACGGCAACATAGATATCGTGACCAAGAAGGCGCGTTTGGAGAAGTACCTCGACCAAAACTATGAGTGTTTCCGCATGACCAAGAGGGTCAGATTCCAAATGTTAGCGGTCCGTGTCCACCCTGATGAACTCAATGAGCCTGATGACCCGATGGAGAAGGGATGGATTAACGAACTCAAGGACATGGGAATCTCTAAAGGAAGACTCCACCATAGCGATGGATGGTGCTTTCCCGTGGCTGTAAGAGCAACCTCGGCACACTCAACGGACGGCGGAGGTTATGACGTTACCATTGACATCGACCACATTGGGTCGAGAATGACCAACGACATGGCCCTATCTATGGTGACTGCATTTCACGCTACCAATCTCGGAGCGCTGACTTCAATCATGCGACGAGGGCTAGTGCCGGGAGGTCTCGGTTCATCGGGAAGGGATTCTATCCACTTCACATGTTTTCCGCCATGGGCCTGGGAGCAGGGCTACAAGGGTAAACCTTGGCTGGGTCGTAAGGTCGCAATGAGGGATCGCCCAGTGGTTCTCTACATTCCGGTGTGGAAGCTGCAGGAGTACGGACTTCTCATCTCAGCGACTGGCTCTCTATTGGTTGAGAACGTCGTTCCCTTCGATGAGGTTAAAGGGGCATGGTTGCAATGCGACAATGCGGAACCCGGACAGCCTGAGAAGATCGAATGGATCCGGTTACTCAGTGGAGAACCCGACCCTGGAAGCTACCTTGTTCTAGAGTCCAAATACGGAAACCCGATCATGATTCCACGCTTTCAAAAGCTTGAGAGCTTAGCGGTTGAGGTTCAGGACGATACCTACTCCGAGGACGACGCCAAAATCTCAAAGCTGTTGGGTATGATCGAGGAGAGTGGTGTTTACCCAGAGTATGATAACACCGAGTGGCAGGAACTCTTCGAGGAGATCGTGTATCGCCGAGCGATGAAAGACTACGATTCAAGGCCGTGTCCTAACTGTCTTGGCGAAGTCGATGTGCGATTGACGATATGTCCGCACTGCGTAGCGGTTTTGATCGCGAATGGGAAGCTCACACATGTGGTACCCAAGGAGACAAGGGACCGCAATCAACGATCACCTCCGAAAGGTGTCCCAGCCAGTTCTTCCGGTGAAACAACCTCTGCTGCAGGTGCAAACATCGATGAAGTCATCAAGAACGCACGCAAGACAGCCGAAGAGGTCATTGAGATCGAGGAATCCGAAGGAGAGGAAGAGGAGGAAGTTCCTATCATTTTGAAGGAACGACCGGACGAAGCTGAAGGCGAACCCGAGTATCGGGAGGTCCCTCAAGATGGATACGGGAATGAACTTCCGAAGCCTTTCCCCTTCGCGATTGACGAATTGCCGCAAGAAGCTGCGATCCCCATCGACCACAACTTTGCCGTCACACAGCAATTTGATTTGAGGTTGATGAAGTTGATCAAGAGCTTGGCCAACGCAACGTTCGACATCAACTGCTTTGAGAGTCGTGAAGATGTACTGCGAATGTTCGACGATGGACAGCGGCATGACACTCCGCACAATAGATGGCCAATAGTACCGAAAGATCCGGATACTGGGTTTCCAAGACGTCTCAAGAGAGACGAGGTCGTAGGCATGAGCAGATGGACCGACGACGTGTTTGCAGCAGAAGCGTGGCAGATCTATGAATTCCACGCCAACGTTGTTCATCCGATGATGATCACTGCAATCCGCTGCGGGCTTAGCCACAAGTACCTCAAAGAGGTCGGCAGCACTCAGCGTAGCATGAGTGATCCAAAGGCTCGAAAGTCTGAGACCCAGGATGAGATCATCGAGAAATTGGCATTCATCTCAAATTTCATCAGACGCATGATCAAGAAGACCTTCGGAGCGAGCCGGTATAGTTACTACCAGAAACCAGATGACGAAAGTGCCGCTCCATACAAATTCATCGACATTAGTCCCGCCATCAAATCGGAGAGGAAGAATGTCACGAAGGAGATCCTCGTTGCATGCCGCTACTATGGCATAGAGGTATCCGATATCCAAGAAAGGAAATTGAAGTCCTTCGAGGAGCAGATCCGAGCGGGAAATCCAAGGAACGTTGAGCTCATCAAGGACTACATTGGCTTTGTCGGCGCTGACTACATGCGACAACTCACGAATGGTTGAGCATTGGGGTCATACCGACATGCCACCTCCGGTACTTCAAGTACTGAGGGATCTCGGGTAATTCATGATGACCGTTTTGGCATCATGGGAGTGAGATAGGATTGTGTCTCACACCGTTGGTAATCGCATGATACCATAGGTAGGTGCACGTTTTCCGCTTGTAGCTCCATTGCCTGTTTGATCCAACTTTCAAGCGAATGCAAGATCTTTTGCTAATTCAATTCAATAGGACATACTGGTTGACCTCCAACACACTTTTGAGAACGTGATTCGTTCTCCGGTTTTTACATCCACTCATCTCCCTTCCCCGTCGAAGTACGGATGTGGGGGGGTGTCAATAGGGATGGGGTCCCAGTATAGTCGCTATACAGGTACATGCCATATACATTTTGGCTCAAGTGCCCAACCAGGTAAAAAGGAGCTTTAGCGCGCGAGCTTCATGTTGACCTAAGAGCTAGAACGGGGCCAGGGCACACCTTTCCATCCGTTCGCATTATACATCTATAGTGCAGATTGACCGACCCATGACGACTGGAGTGACAGTTTGGTCGTCACGTTTGCCGGAAGGAATTTGGACTCCCAGATCGGGATCCCTCTGAAGCATGGTAGGAGAGTAGAAAGATGATCAAGAAAGCGTGGATTTCCACGATCTAGTTTGTACATATATATAATATATATATATGTGTGTGTGTTTATATTCTATAAGACCCTAAAGTTTAAAGAGTTTCAGCTGGAGTTTGTTTTTGGCAACTCCTTGAATTCAAATGTTGGTGGAAACGATTGTTATAGCCTCCAGTTTTTTGGGACCGGACTGTATGTAGTATGTAGGCAAATAAATACCCCGTGGAACTTTTGACCCTCACCTGTTTTCACCAGTGCGACCCGCGCTGCCTTAGGATGTTCGAGTTCTTCAACATCACCAGGCTCGATGGCGCCGCTTGGCCTGTAGGAAGGTGCTCTTGTTGAGGGCTGCTAGGGTGTTTGGGTCGTCCTGTGGTCATCCCCCGATAAAGCAAATGGCCAACCAAGTGAGTACAGCAAATGACCATTTATGACTTTGCTTACAAAGTTGATAAAGCAAATGGTCAACCAAGATCAGCACGAGGGAAAGGAAGAGTGGAAGGTGCAAGTGTCGGAAGGATCTTCGAGACATGCCCCACCAATATTTCTGGCAATGGATGGCTTCGTCTATGAACGGGGAATTATTGTTAACAGTATTTTCAAGATGTTTTCTCAGGAGAATGTTTTCCTGCAGATTCCCGCTTAAAGCTTTCTCATCGATGCGAGAGAACAGGTCTTCATCATAGGTGGTGCATTTGTCCAATGGTCAACAAGTCAAGTATCAAGCCATGACGTTCGAAGACAGCAGAAACGCAACGCGTAAATGCCTCCAATTTAGGTGTCTCAAAGTGTGGTTCCCCAACTGAAAACTGTCTTCTGAGTGGTGTGGAACTATGCCTCCTTTTTGGGGTCTGCAATGTCTCCAAGTGATCTATATACATCCCTGCTTTCAAGGGGTCAATGGACAACTCCACTCTACATTAAGTAGCTGTTTGATTTAGACACCCCTTGAAAGCGCTAGGTCCTAGTATATGGAGTTGTAGTTTGTTGATGTGGTTCAATATCGCCAATCTTGATTTGTCCCATCGAACTGCTGCCGCGCATCTTCTGAGAAATGTGGTTTCGCACGGGAGCTGCTAGCGGGCAATGCTTCCAATGCCACGAACACCTCCAAAGCCGCCTTCGAGTCTGCCACGATGTTGGCTGATGAGGACCGGTTTGTTTTACCTAGGTTTCACTTATGCCTTTGGTGTCAATTCATATCATATCATATCATATCTAATTACATATGTATATATATATAGTCGTAGTAGCCGCTGGGTTCAAAGGCCCTAAAGCTCGGGCTATCGGGGGCCCTAGGCCGGCTGAGAGTGCGGACTCTGACCGGTGTCGACGAGGAAGAGTCCGCGCTCTTCTCCCGGTGCATCCTTGTTGAGGAGTCTTAGTGGCCCGCCCGTTGTTCCTTTGCCATGGACACTGCTTTGGTGCTTGATCTGGCGGACCAGGTCCTTGCTGGATCGACGAGGACTAGGTTCAGGTCTCTCCTCCATGACCTTTCGGCGGCTCCCTTTCCGCTGCAGGTTTGTGGAAGAGCATTCATCGCTGGTGAAGCTTTATGCTGCGCAGGTGATTCGATCGAGCTCAAGCCTCTCGCATTTGCCCCGGGCAAGGGCTTTCACCATGCGGACACAGTCCCGGACAAAGTTGTGGTCACTATGCCTGAGCTTCTGACACGATCGATTCCTGTTTGCCCAGGTGCACAGTTGATCTGTTGTGGCACTTTGCTCTCCTCACCGAAGTTGCACGTTTACAACTTTGCTCACTCTGCCTCGGTGCACTTTCGGCCGGAGTTGGACTGCACTTTTGGGTGGGATTGCACCCATCTTTTTTGTGGAGGCCTTTGTGGGTGGAGCCAAGCCGTTGAATGGCTCCCAAATGCTGGTTTCGGATTTGCTCTTGGACGCCAGGTTTTGGTGGACCATGATGAGACGATCCTTCAGCTGTGCAAGGTCCGCCATAAGTGTGAGTTGCTTCGGTGTCCCATCCGACCGAATGCACCCTGGAATCCTGCTGGGAAGATTGCCATTGTTGGTGATGTCGCCGACCCCACCATACCGTTTGTTCATAGATGCCAGGTCAACCTCATGTGCACGCTTTCGCCACCGTGCCAATCGTGGTCAAAAGGCGGCAAATCTTTGGGCCTCATGGACCCAAACGGATGGTCCTTTGTCGCTGGACTGGAACAAGTTTTCATGCTGCAACCCATCCTCGCGTGTGCCGAATGTGTGGACGAACTGGCTTCGCATGTTCATTTTAAGCTTGTACAGTGTATAGCTACTTTGTTTGGGTACAGAATGATTTGGTCACAGATCGTCCCTTACCATGAGTTAGCTCACCACTGTCGCACGAGGTGGTTATGTGTGTGGGTTCGTGCCGATGTCACAGCGGAGTCTCTTGGATTTAGCCTGCCATGCTCCATCGTGCCGAGAGTCCCATGGAATGATGATCGCTATCACTTCCGCCTTCCTAAGGTCTGGACAGAACAAGCACGATTAAGCAGTTCGGAAGCTGCCATTTACAATGATCCGCAGCTTGTTCCAGCAGCGAAGAGGGCAAAAATTGTTGCATCCACAAGTCCTGATGCTGGCCTGCAGGGTCGCCTAGCTTGCCCCACCGAGCCGCTTCCAACGCTATGTGCCTCGTACTCGAGCCAACATCACTTGGCGAGTGATCATTTGCAAACAAAAGGCATTTTTGCGGTTCTCAAGCAACAAGATGGTTTTTACTGCTTTCTTGATCCGGCTCACTTTTGCAGTCTGTTCGGTACCCTGGCTGAACTTGTGCTACCAAGCAAATTGTCGCTTGCGTTCAAAGTGGTTGGCAATGCCATCACTATTCCGCATAGTGTCATGTGCATTTGTGTCGGTCTGTATGCAGTCCTGCCTGAATCAATTGATCCGGTCTCTATTATGCGAGATGCTTGGGAACACCGACTGACCGCCCAGTCGGCTGTCCTTTTCGAACAAGGTCCGTTTGTCCGTCTCATGCCTGCAGCGCAAGTGCATCAGTGCCTGACTCCTAAGGTCATTTCTCAAGGACAAGGCGAATGGCGGGTTCAATTCCTCCTTGATGCTGGGGCTACGATTCTGGAGACTCGAGCTCCCTCAACAGCCACTTTCATTGAGGTTTTGACTGCTGTCTTTGATGGGCCTGAGGGACTTTTCCAGCAGAGCTCCTTGCTCTCGTCTGGGAGTACAGGCAGCACCGGGATGAACTTGCGTGAGCTTGCGGCCATTGCTGATGATTGGGACCTCCTCATTGGCCGTATATGCCTTCTTCGGTGCCGTGTGATTTTGCAGCCGGTTGTCCAATCATTGAATGTGTGTGTCGCCACTGATCCATGCCCTGCTACGGTGCCCATCATCGACCTTGTGAATGATGCAATTGAGTTGCCGTGCCCTGGAACTTTGGAAATGTTTGGGGCTTCCGAAGTCTTTGTCAAGCTCCTTGAGATCATGAAACGGATCGACTTTGTGAAAGGCTCTGAATACATTCCGGTGTATGTCGTTCATCACATGCTGCCAGGAGCTGTCCGACTTGGCTGTAATCACGCCAACTATGACGAAGTCCTTGCTGGCCTGCAAAGGTTGCTCTCATCCAATGAGAGGTTGATCACGACTTTCGCTCAAGACAGGGTTGCTGATGGAAGCTCCCCTTCTCGCATCATCCACATCTTTGAGCAGCTTGCGCCGAGTGAGGGCGTCGCCGTCATCGTTTGCCTTCCTGAAGAACAGCAAGTGATGCACTCGATCGTTGGCAGTGCCATGAAGCCGCTTCCCACCTTCCAGTTTAAAGGAGCCCTACTTGAAGTAGCCTGGATCAATGAAGCACCGAGTGATCAATTTGTCGGCCCTCTCCAGCATGGTGCCCTGTTGAGCCTTCAGAGAAGCCATGAGATTCGTGCAGGTGGCCACCATCTTTCCTCAGGTGCGACACCAACACTTGCTGTGGGTGCTGACTTCCAAGCACGAGCTGAGTATATGTGCAATACGCATGGGTGGATTGCTGCAGACGAACTATGGAGTATCACACAGAACATCATGTTCATGCAAGACTCGTACAAGTTCACGGCACCAGTCTACTGGAACCAGCAAGACTCTGATTTCACGCTGTCACCATTCGGAGAGCTCTACTTGTTCAACAATACCACTAATGTGATTTGTGTGTTAGTGGATGATCATTGGGCAGCCACCGAGATCCGGAGAACTGCTGACGCTGCCAATCTCAACTTTGTGCAACTTCCGCGACACTTGCAAAATGCTGCAACTCGGGTCGTGGCTCGGCTCTTGGACATTGCACCTCACCGGCTGTCGACATCCAGTGAACATGAGGAGCATCTTCCTCATTTGTGTGGCTGGCGCTTAGTGCAGAGGTGGATTCATCTGTTTGATTTGGCGGAGGACTTTCAGCCCGAGACTTTTGCTGGTGTTGCTGATCGATTTCATGACATCATCACAATGACCATGGAATGTGCATTGGAAGACTGGAGAACCTACAACGCCCCGCCTCCTCTGGCTCATTTGGCCGCCCTACTGCGCAAGAAGTTTCTGATTTTCCTGGCACGAAGAGAGTCTCAGCAGAATCCTATTCCACAGAAAGCACTTGTCGCTGCTTGGCCTGTCAGACTGCCGCCGCTTTCGTCCACTCTACCAACCCCACCACCGTCTGCAGAGCAGGTGGCAGCTAGTCGGATTGCTACGCGCTTGGAACACATGCTCACATACAGTGGTTGGATGGCAAGTGACGAAATGGACTTCTCCCTTGATGTGGCCAGAATCATCCAGCCATCCACCCTGTTTTGTGCCCCGGCTGTGGAATTTGACTACACGTGCATTGGAATTTCCCAATGGGCTGATCCCGGAGTATGGCACGTACAACCATGTGATTTGGATGGTTATCCACAACAACCACTGGCTTCAATTCGAGTGCTACCGCCAAGGGTCTGACTCTGTCTTCATTGCCTCAGTGCCGATTTCCCAAAGAGGCATCTATGTGCCCCTGATTCAGCTGCTCCTTCGTCACCTTGGACTTGACCATCAGAATATTGCCATCGACTTCGTCGACCAGACGATGCCCAGAGATCTATGTGGCTACTATCTTTTGGCCAACATCTTCTACCGCCTTGGGCTCCAAACACCACCTCCGCTTGATGTCCATGACCACTTCCTGGCCCAAGGGTCCCATGCTCACTTGATCGCTCGGGTCCGACGAGAAGCCCGCAACACATGGATTCGAGCTGAAGGCTTACCTGATTTTGCAGTTTTTGCAGCCAACATTCGTGACTGGTTCCTGCTGCGGGTCAAGTCCAATCGATTTCCGGACACCTACTATGCTGCAGGTACTGTCCAAGAAATGCATGTGGACGCTTCGACATCGCCTGGGGCTGCCAATGCTTCGACTCCACGCCATGGAGCTGGCTCGAGTGCACCGGCCAAAGGCATTGATCCGGTGTGGGTCAATGACCCATGGGGTCGCAAAACACCCCGCCCTGCACAATGCAAATGGGAAGATCTGCGTATCCAACATGAAGTGCCTTTTGTTGGTACAGATGGCACAGCCCTTCAGCAAACGCACCGACTTCAGCTTGGCCCCAACCGGGGAGGCATCGTTTTGCTGACAAAATCTTTCCTCTCCGAGGCATCCAAGCAAGTTGGCAAGCAAGACTTGGCTGTGTTGTTGCCTGTCACCGACAACATGCACCTCCCTCGCCAAATTGGAAGGCCCGTACGAGGTCGCCATGTATGACGAAGCGGCCAAATTGTCCTACAAGAGGCTCACTCACCTCATCGTGCTCCAGGGAAAGTGCACCTTCAAGCTACCAGCACCAAAGTGCAAGATCACGACCCAGGCAATGTGCGAGTTGGTCCTCGAGGTGGATTCCCGCCTCTGTGCCAAGTCCGAGATCGAGAAAATCAGAGAAAGTCCGATAGCTTCTTTTCGGGACCTGGTGGCTCAGGTTGTCACGGCACTTGACTCATCGATTGTGCTGTATGGATTTCGATCAACAACCCATCCGGGAGCCTCAAAGGGAGACTTCATCCTCCAGTGCATCATCAAAGCTCCACAACCACTGCGTGTTCCCTTACTGGAAGCAGGTGGGGCTTCAACACTCCTGGTGCGGGACTTCTTGGAGCGAGGCCAAGCGTCGGCA